CCTTTCCCCCTTTCCTTCTCTAAGTCTCGATTACAGAACATGGCTTTGGCTGCCTGGATCAACTGGTCGAAGGAGGACTTACCAAGGTCTGCCATAAGCATGGAGCTTCTGCAGATATCCAGGGCTGACTATACAAGGGATTTGTCCTTGAGGATCGCTCCACCCTCCACTGTGTGGGGCCCAAGTTAGTGAACTTTACGATTGGCTCCCTTGAGGTGTTATAGAAAGGTCACTGGTGGCTCAGTCTCTCCCTAATGAACAGTGGTGAGTTGGGTACCCACCAAGTTCTCCTACCCTCACCACTGGCTGAGGAAACAATCCAGGATAAGACTTGGAAGCCTTTTCCTCTGAGGCATTGGGATGCAGAGGGCAGGGCTCCTCTGGGGGCTGCTGAGCAGGGATGAGGTGCCTGTGAGGGAGGGGCAGCAGGAAGGAGCCTTCAAAGAGGAGGTTCTTTTTTTAAATCTACTTACAAATTACCCTTATCTTTTTAAGATTTATTTAATTTTTTGCAAAGTCAGATATACAAAGAGGAGAAGAGACAGAGAGGAAGATCTTCCGTCCAATGATTCACTCCCCAAGTGACTGCAATGGCCAGAGCTGCACTGATCCGAAGCCAGGAGCCAGGAGCTTCCTCCATGTCTCCCACGCAGGTGCAGGGGTCCAAGGCTTTGGGCCGTCCTCAGCTGCTTTCCCAGGCCACAAGCAGGGAGCTGGATGGGAAATGGAGCTGCTGGGATTGGAACCGGCACCCATATGGGATCCTGGCGTGTTCAAGGCAAGGATTTTAGCTGCTAGGCTACCACACTGGGTCCTGCCCTTATCTTTTGAATCAGAAGGTGCCAACTCTTCCAGATGCCTGAACTGTGGCTGATTTTGTTTTTCTGTTTTTTTGTTTTGGGGGTTTTTTGTTTGTTTGTTTAATTCTGCTGCCCTTGAGGTAGTCTCTGAGATGGAAAAACATCTGGACATAAAGAACTTCTACAATTTCCCAGTGCCTACAATAGAGGTCCAATTGTAAGATGGCGTTAGAATTAGGGTTCCCTGTGGAGGGCCAGGTTTCAGCATCAGTGAGGGAGTGTTTGGGCCAGACCTTACTGTCTAGGGATACAGTGTCAGAACAGCAGGTGCTGGAAATGATCAGTTCCTATTTCCTGCACCACGCTACATCTGGGACTCTGGCTGCTCAAGTATATCCTGGTTTTGCTAACTTTGCTCAAGTTTGCGGGGGTCAAAAAAGTCCCAGTTTTTAAGGGTACAACCAAGAAGGGTTGGGAGTCCACTCGCGACAACCAAGTAGAGAGAGACTTGCCCTCTTCTCCCTTGTCTAGCCTGTGCCCGAAGTCTGTGTCAGAACTGGGAGGCAAGTCCAGTCTGACCCCTGTGTTGCAATCATTGCAGGAGTGGCCCTGCTGTCCACCAGGACAGGACCCCAGGACCGCCCCCGCCTCGCTCCACCTGCCCCCCAGGACCGCCCCCGCCTCGCCCCACCTGCCCCTGACCGTTGTTTCATCCCACAGAAGGCTTTGTTTCATCCCACAGAAGGCTCCGGAACACTCGGTAACAACACAGGATAACTGCCCCTGGGATTTTTGTCTCCACCTCATCAATATGAATGCAAAAAGCCCACAGATTTTTGTGTGATCTTTTTTTCAAAGATTTATTTTTATTGGAAAGTTGAAATTACGAGAGAAGGAAAGACAGAAAGATCTTCCATCCACTGGTTCATGCCACAACTGGCTGCAGCAGCCAGAGTTGAGCCAATCCAAAGCCAAGAGCCAGGAGCCTTTTCTGGGTCTCCCAAGAGTGGAACCAGTGCCCATATGGGATCCTGGTGCATGCAAGGCGAGGATAGCTGGTAGGATAGCTGGTAGCTGCAAGGCTACCGTGCCAGGCCCTTATTGGAGCTTCTAATGGACAGGTTCCTACAGCACAGCTCCAAAAGCATCCCTCCCATTCCTATGATTGCTCAGGTCTCAGAGGCTGGAAGCCACGTGGGTGATAAAACTGAGCTGGTAGTAGTAAAGGGACTGGTTTTTTAGTCTGGGACGTGTAGAGGGGGTCATCCAAAGGTCCACACGAGTCACTTTAAGGGATCAAACCCAAGCCACACACTCGTGGGGGTGCACACCTCCTCCGAGAGGTCAGCCAGAAGCTCAGCACTTGGGTACCCTGCCAGTTGGCATTTGGGATCCACAACAGGGGAAGTTTCAAGTCCCACACAAGAGTGGCTTCTGCCAGAGACTGTCAGTCTTCCTCCAGGTTTCCTCTGAGCATGTGCGCCCTCAGCCTCGCTCCCAAAAGGAAAATGAAGGTGATAGGAAAGGGCAAATACGTGGTTGGGGATTAGGGCCTCTGATGGCCTAAACAGCCACCCTTCCTAACACTGCCCCTCCTAATACAATCCCTCTGGAGATCCGACCATAGTTCGGCTGTGACCAGTTGTGGGGGGCCTCTGTGTTCGTGCAGAGCCACGGGGTATCAAGGGTCACTTCCACGGGTGCAGTCCCACTGAGGGAAGCCATGCCAACCCTGTGAAGTCTTCTCTAGGTTGATTCAGCTGTGGCTCCAATCTAAGCCTTTTTTTACACTCTGCCCCAGAGCACCAAGGAAATTATGTTACTAGAAAAGCTCCATGGGTTCTTTCTTCAGCTTAATATAGAAATAAAAAGCCAGGAGCTGGTTGCAGACAGAGAATTTATTTGCAAAGTGACCAGATGAGAGAGCACTGGGAGATGGGGTGCCTCTTGAAAGGAGAGAGGGAGAGACACTAAAGGGGTCTTTGCAAGGGTCTTGGGGTTTTAAGCATTCCCTGATCCCCTCCTTGCTAGGCAGAACCTCCAGGTAAAAGGTTCCCCATTGGAGTTCTCTAAATCAGTTAGGAAATGGCTGAGTAATTCTTGTGCTTGAAGATTGGCCTAGATTTCAGTAGGCTCTCTTAAGTCTCAGGTCCGGGCTGGCGCTGTGGCTCAAAAGGCTACTCCTCCCTCATAGAGTACTGGCATCCCATATGGTCACCAGTTCTAGTCCTAGCTGCCCCACTTTCCATCCTGCTCCCTACTTATGGCCTGGGAAAGCAGAGGAGGATGACTTAAAGCCTTGGGATCCTGCAGCCATGTGGGAGACTCAGAAGAAGCTTCTGTCTCCTGGCTTCGGATCAGCTCAGCTCCAGCCATTGTGGCTACTTGTACAAGACTTTATCTCTTGGCTCTATAAATCTGCCTTTATTTTTGTTGGAAAGGCGGATATACAGAGAGGAGGAGAGACAGAGAGGAAGATCTTCCGTCTGATGTTTTACTCTCCAAGTGAGTGCAATGGCTGGAGCTTAGCCAATCTGAAGCCAGGAGCCAGGAGCTCCTCTGGGTCTCCCACGCGGGTACAGGGTCCCAAGGCTTTGGGCCTTCCTTTACTGCTTTCCCAGGCCACAAGCAGGGAGCTGGATGGGAAGCAGGGCTGCCGGGATTAGAACCAGCGACCATATGGGATCCCGGGAGTGCAAGGCGAGGACTTTAACCACCATGCTATTGTACTGGGCCCAATTTCAAATAAATCTTAAAAAAAAAAATCTGACCCTTCCTCCAGGAAAACAGTATGTACCAAAGGAAGTCCCACCCAGCTTGGTATCTGCCCTTCTAAGCCAGTGCCTGTGGGGATCACTGTGTGGGGGAAGGAGTGGGAGAGGTTTGGTGGGCAGGAAGGGAGCTCTTCCCCAAAACGCCAGCCATGGGCCTCACTGGGGGCAGCTGGGCCTGTCCTAGTGGCTGCCAGTCGACTGTCCAGGAGCCCAATTGTCTCACCAGCTTTTGCACTCCACACTGCCTTTCTGGGCATCAGCCCAGCAATGCCACAGCTTTTGTTCCACCCGCTATCTCCTCCTGCTGTCACTGCCCCAAACCCTGTAGACCCAACCACTTCCTAGATAGCTCTTGGTTGCTTCCTGGGTGCTCAGAGATTTCTTTGTATTGATTTATTTATTTTTAAGAGGCAGAGTTCCCATGCTCTGGTTCACACCTGACACCCCACAGCAGTTGGGGTGAAGGACAGGGTCAGGAGCTTGGGTCTCCCCTAACCCGTGGGTGGCAGGAACTGCATGTGCGTGAGTCATGGCTGCTTCCTCCCAAGGTTCTAACCTGGTCACTGCACTCCACAGCTACCGCCAGGGATGGAGTCCCAGCATTCAACTGTGGGATGCTGGCGTCTGAACCAGCAGGCTAAACCTGCTTTTAGCATGCCTGCCTTAATACAAAAACAAAGAGAGCAGGTCAGTGTATGGGCATAGTACCCACTAATGGCATCCCTTCTCAGACCCACCCCTTAAGGCCTCTGTCTCCTGGGCATATTTCTACCATCAGTTTTAAACTGCAGAATTTGCACTTAAAAAAAAAAAAAAAGCCCTGGCTTCTGCTGCACCTCCTCTCCTCAGACCCTGCAAATATCAGCACAGGTATGCATTCTTCCAGAAATTTCTCCTGTGTCCATGGCACCTGTGGAAATGGTACTCACCATGCAGGACTCCAGCTATTGCTCTAGACAGTCAACACGGGCTGGAACTGTGTCTCAATGCAGGGGCTTTTCCCAGCACGCGGCCCTGCCCATGGCACACAACAGATACATCTGAAAACGTGTCACGGAGGCAAGAATAGTGGAAGCCCTGGCAGCTAAAGGTCACTACTAGGGGACCCCAGAAGATGCTACACGGCATCCTACAAGCCTGGAGCCTTGGGCGCTGGACGCCATCCTCCCGCCGGCCTAGCGGGGGCGCTGTGGGGAGCAGCCGGCTGTGCGTCTGGCCGGGCGGAAGCCGAGGGCCGTGCGCGTGCGCGGAGGGGCAGGGCCTGACAGAGCGGAAGTCTGCTGGGAGGTGGAGGAGCGAACTTGGCGGCGCTGAGTGCTGGGCTGTACGCGTCCTTGAGGGGACCCGGCCGGGCATGTCTCGAGGGCCCCGGGAGGGACGGGGCTGGGAGGCGGCTCGGCCGACGCCGGGGTCGGGGAGGCGCAGGTGTCTGTCCCTGGGGTCTCCCACCCCGAGCGGTCTGGTCTGGATTGTGGGGTTCACTGTCTGGGAAGGGGGCGGCGTTGACAGGAGCTTCTTCTGTCTGGGAGGCTGCGTCGGGGGGTAGTTTCTGTACCTGTTCTCGGAGAGGGGGTGCATCTGGAGCGGCTGTCACGGTTGGTTTTCGGGAAGATGTGCGTCTGGGGACTCTCAGAAGGGGTTCCTGGATCGGTTGGTCTGAAGCCCTTGCCCCTGGAAGCCCATCCCGCTTGTTTATGGCTTATGAGACAAACAGAGACTCAGAGACCAGAACTCCATCCAGGTCTCCCCTGAAGGTGGCAGGGACACAAGTATTTAAGCCGTCACCTGCTGTCCCCATCATGTGCATTAGCAGGAAGGGGACATTCAAGACTGTAACCTGGCACTCCACTGTGAGAGGCAGGCATCCCAAGTGACAGGGTTTTAAAAATGTAGTTACTAAAAGATTCATTTATCTGAAAGGAGAGTTACCGAGAGAGAGAGAGAGAGAGAGAGACCCATCCAGTAGTTTATCCCTCAAATGGCTGCAGTGGCCTGAGCCAGGGACCTGACATTCCTCCATGCCCCCGTGTGGGTGGCAGGGACTTATGTACTCGGGCCGTCTTGTGCTGCTTTCCCACACACATCTGCAGGGAGCTCGATTGCCAGGCAGCTGGGATTCGAACCACTGGTGTTGCAGGCAAAAGCATAATCCGTTCAACAGCTGTGGCTGCCCCTCAGCTTTCTGCCACTTTGTTAGTTATCACTCATCTTAGCTCTGAGCTTCCCTAGGGACTAGAGGGAAGGGAATGCTGTCCGCATGAGTCACACAAGAAGGCAAATTAGCATCCGGCTTTGCTCCCTGTCCCCCAAAGGAGCAGGTGGCTTTAGGCAGCTGCACTCTGAATGCTTTGTCTGCTGGTTTCCTTATGGGGTCCCTGTCAGTGAGGCAGCTGCCCTGAGCTGCCACATGGTGTACACAGAGGCCAGGTGCATGCGTGCCCCAAGCCAGTGGCTTTCCTGTCCCCCTGTGGGGAGCTAGCAGCTCAGCGTCCGGGAGTGGGCATGGCGCTGTACCCGGACTGTAGGCAGGGTGAGGGTAGGGTGATGCGATGGGGAAGAGGGGTGGTACTGCGTCGCTGAGGAAGCATTTCAGCTCACCTTGGCACTCTCCGGCCTGGGAAATCATCCCTGGGTGTTGACCATGCCTTCCCTCCCCTCACCCAGTGCTCCCCCATCCCTCAGGATTGCAGGCTGAGCCATGGGAAAGAGCTGCAAGGTGGTGGTGTGCGGCCAGGCGTCTGTGGGCAAGACCTCCATCCTGGAGCAGCTTCTGTATGGGAACCACGTGGTGGGTGAGTGTGCTGGGAGAAGGACACAGGGGCTGAAGGCCGCTCCTGTTAGAGCTCTTAGACCCAGAAGGGTGAAACTGACAGGACCCCGGTCTGATAACCCAGGCTGGGGAGGAGAAGCTCCCATGGCACTCTCTGGCTTGACACAGCGGAGCCGGGTGGCTGTCTGCTCCCTCAGAAGGTCCCCGTTCTGCCAGTGTGCACACACACACACACACACACACACACACACGCGCGCGCGCGCGCGCGCACACAGTCCCTGCCGCCTCTCTCCTGCCGCTGTGTCCTGGCGCACACGTCCCGTCTGCCTCCCCAGCACTTGCAGCCGGCTTCCTCCTTACATCGCAGGCTCTGAGATGATCGAGACGCAGGAGGACATCTACGTGGGCTCCATCGAGACAGACCGAGGGGTGCGGGAGCAAGTGCGTTTCTACGATACACGGGGGCTCCGGGACGGGGCCGAGCTGCCCCGCCACTGCTTCTCCTGCACGGATGGCTACGTCCTGGTCTACAGCACTGACAGCCGGGAGTCCTTCCAGCGTGTGGAGCTGCTCAAGAAGGAGATTGACAAGTCCAAGGACAAGAAGGAGGTGCAGGCGCAGGGCCCCCGATGGTGGGCGCGGGGCTGGTGGGGCAGGCCGTGCTGGGCTTTGTGTTTAATAAGCCAGGAGGGATTCAGGTGCTGGAAGGCTTTTCCAAAGGTGGCCAGATGTTGACCCAACTCAACCAAGGAGGCCCTTTATCTGTAGGATGACACCCTGACCCTGACGGGGTGAAGCCATCCTGGTGTGTTCTCGAAGGCTCCAAGGCCTTAGCTGGGAAGGCCCTCCTGGACCCCCAGGTCTGAGCCTCTGTCCTGCTTTTTGGCCGCTGACCCCCTGGCTGAGGCCCATGGTGCACTCATGGTCCCCCCTCCACCCGGCTCCTCCAGGTCACCATCGTGGTCCTCGGCAACAAGTGCGACCTGCAGGAGCAGCGGCGTGTGGACCCGGACGTGGCGCAGCACTGGGCCAGGTCGGAGAAGGTGAAGCTGTGGGAGGTGTCAGTGGCCGACCGCCGCTCCCTCCTTGAGCCCTTCATCTACCTGGCCAGCAAGATGACCCAGCCCCAGAGCAAGTCCGCCTTCCCGCTCAGCCGCAAGAACAAGGGCAGTGGCTCCTTGGATGGCTGAAGAGCCCAGTCCTCACCCTCTTCACCATCCCAGGCATGTTGGCGGCTGGGGAGGACACGGGCAGGCAAGCTGTGCTCCTGCCCGTCAGCAGAGGGCGCTCTCTCCTGGGCCAGGCAGCCCCGGCCAGCCCTGGCCACTAGGACTCTCTCCCTCTTAGTTCCAGGAAACGCCCCTGCCCCTCTGCTCCCAGCTGACCACTTCCCCTCCCAGCTGTTACCCGTGTGAGCAATTGTGGGGTTATGTCCCTCCCATCTGTTTACTCTGGGCAGGAAGCAAAGCTGCCTCGAAGAGGGGCCCGGTTGAGGGTCTGGTCCCTGTTACAGGGGTCCAGCTCCTGGGCTACCTGCCTGTAATATACACTCGGGGCGTGCCAGTGTGTGCCCCAAAGGATGGCCTGTCTGGGTATTGTGAGTCTAGCTGTGCATGTGTGTGCTTGTATGTGCATGTTGGACTTAGAGGTGCCTCCACACACTTGGCCCTGGCCCTTCTTGGGCTGGAAGAAGCTGAGAGCATCTTCCTGCCTGGACTTTACTCCCACTTGCCCCAGCAGTTCACTTCCTCTTCCTGCTTGGTTGGGGTGGAGTGGAACGAGCACAGGGCAGAGACCCAGCCAGGCCCTCCCCATCTCCGGGCTTCCATTGCTTCGATATTTAAGGTGACAGGAGTAGCTCTCAGTCTCCTAAACCCTTTCCTGCTCGGATTTTCTTAATACCATGGCCTGCGGCCTCCTGGGCCTGCTCCCCTTGCTGCTTCCTCTCAAGGTGCTACGCCCAGGAGTCCTGGAGGCTGGGACTCAGCCCTGGCACTGACCACCGGGGGCGGGGGCAGGAGAGTGCTCTCTGCTGCCACAGTGACGCCCCAAGCCCGTCCACCCTCCGGGGTGGCTCTGTATCAGCAACCTGTATTGATATGCCTGCTGCTGTGCTGAAGGCTGGATAAGGCGCTCCTCCAGCCCACCTTACCTCACATGCCTGAACAGAATAGGGTGAACCAGTGACTCTGGGAAGGTGTCACAGCGTGTCCTCTCTCCCCAGCTGCCATGCCTGCCCCATGCTTCTAAGTGCACACCTGCTGAAAGTGAGACACTGCAACCCTGTCCACCCCCAGGATGCACCCCTTCCCAGGGCAGGGCAGGGCAGGGCGAGGAGAGGAGAGGTAGGACATCCTCATGCTGGGCTTCTGGTTCATTTATTGATGCATTGGACACAATAAAACCACAACTGCTGATATCAAAACATTTTCTCCCTTCCCCCCTTCTTCTTTCTCTTACTGGCCATGTCTTTGCACAAAAGAGAGATACTGGTGGATACTGGCAGTGTCCCATACCATGTGGGTGACAGAGGCTAGGCTGGGGAGGGGTTGGGTGCATGACGCCTTGACGGCCCAGAAGTGTTCTTGGGTGTGTGGGGGGCGCCGAATCCCACACTGGTGCACCGGGCTGGCTGGGCGGACAGAAGCTGGGTTGGGTGCAGGGACCAGCTTCAGCGGGAGGACCTGTAGGGGCTTGCTCTGGGGGCATTGGGTGTTGACAGTCCTTAATCTGAGGGACTTGGCACAGGCCACAGAGGGAGAGCGTGGAAGGAATGGGTCACAACCTCTGTTAATAACAAACTGGGCCCCGGGGTGAAGGGGAGGGTTCTGAGGCACACCAAGCTTCACGTGCTGCCTGCGACAGGAGAGATGGTTCCTGTCTCTGCTGATACACCTGGAATGCAGTTGAAGGTGGCCGTGGACTTGGGCCTCAGCTACCTACCCATGTGGGAAACACAGATGCTGTTCTGGGCTCCTGGCTTCAGCCTGGTCCTACCCCTGACTTTGTGGCGATTTGGAGAGTGAGCCAGTGAGCAGAAAGCCTTTGTCTCTGCTTCCTCCTGTCCCACCCCCCATCCTGAACACTGCTTTTCAAATAAATATGTCTTAAAACTTGGCCCAGCCAGAATAATCTCCTCCCCTCCCTCTGCGCCAGCCCCATCACACTGAAGCAGGTGAGCTCCCCAAAGCTTTCCGTCCCCATCCCCCCAACTCTGCACTGCTGAAGGATCCCCTCTTCTCCCAAGTCCTCAGGCACTCCCTTGTCCTGGCAGCTTCACTGTCCCCTGGCTGGAGACCCCCAGGGCGGTGTGGGCCCTGGTGGGCGGGCCTTCAGTTAGGGGGAGTGAGAGCACCACCTGCCTAGCACTGGGACTTTTGCATAGATCTTGGGGGTTAACAGGCTGGGAAGTGTTGGGGAGCCCAGGACTGACCACAGCCTGAGAGTGGAGGGGATGGGCCTTGGACCCAAGGGACACGGGCTGGATCCCCAGTCCGGACAATCAAGAGCAGCTGCCCCTAGAAACAGCCCAGCTCGTTCCTAGGTCAGTTGAGGAGGGACTGTGGGGTCGAAGGCAGCCCCTGTGGGACTGAGGGGTGCCACGAATCTGGGGGTGGTAGACAGCTGCTGGGGAGTCCCCAGGCCTCCCCAGGAGGCTAATAAGGAGCAAAGACAATAGGTCCCGAGGCAGGGCGGACGGCTCCTGTTGGGGTGCGGAAGAGAGCCGGGCCCAGGATCGGGGCTGGGAAGAGGGGGGCTGTTGCGGCAGCAGTGGCTGCCGGGGATGGGCGGAGGGCCAGCGGCCCGGGCAACGCGCAGATGGCAGCGGCAGCAGGCAGCGGGCTAGGCAGGAAGCGGGCTGCCAGCGTCTTGGTCAGTTGCTTCTGCAGTGCCAGTTTAGACTATGATGAGAAGAGAGGAATGAACAGAATCCCTGACCCCAGGAAGACCCGCCCCCTCCCTGGGCCCCCAGCTGGAGATTCTTCTGCAGGCAAAACGTGCCTTTTAGGCTTCCAAGCCCAAATGCACTCCTCCACCCCCAAACCCTCATTCCACTGGACTTTCTCTTGCACCTGTCTTCCTGTGGAGGGCGTGGGGTGAGGGGGTAGAGACAGTCTCTGGGAGTTGCATACCCTCAGATTACCACCCCAGCCCACCTCCCGGAACATTCCTGCGGGCAGAACCCACACCCCCAAACCCAGCTCTTCCGCTTCTGCAGGGCTGTCCCTGTCCCCACAGTCCCTCCCCTTGCCCTTGACCCCGCACTCCAGCTCTGTTGCCACCCGTGGGAATACCTTGAGGATACTCACAGCCAGCGCTGCGTGCTTCTGCAGCTTGCTGGGCTGGCTGTGGGGCCTGGAGGGCTTCCCGGCCAGGCGGTCCTTGTGTCTCCTGCTGCTCATGTGCTGATGGACAGACAGACAGAAACCATCACACCTGACTGTCTCACCCTTCTTCTCTATCCACAACTCTTCCTGGGTGTTCCCCCACCTGGGGGGAGGGTCTGGGAAGGGAGGTGACAGGTAGCCCCTACCCAAGGAGCCTGTCACCATACAACCAGCTCTCCCACTCCACACACACCTGTCTTTCCCACCGATCCTGTAGCCTGCCCCCTCCAAGCCCAGAGACCCCACTCTCCCTTTTCCCACCTGCTTGAGCTGGGTCTCTGAATTGACCTGGAGCTGGCAGAGAGCACAGCGCAGCGCGGGGCTGGGTCCCTGGCGGCCACTCCGACCTGCTGCAACTCTCTTGGCCTTATGTCCAGCCCCTCCCCGGGGCACCGGGCGGCCCCGGCTCCTTCGGGGAGCCCCGCGCTGACCTTCCACCATCCACCGGTGCTTGGCTCCTAGAGGGAGGGGAGACGACCATCTCTGAGCTCCCAAGGTGGGGACTGCAAGGCTGAGGGGACGCAGCCCCCAGCAATCAGGTCAGTGTGTCCCTTTAGGCCTGAAAGTCACTCTGCACCCACGATCACCTTCTGCCAGCTCCCCCCGCCCCCAGCCAAGGACACCAGAGCGCCTTCCCTTCTGCTTCTAATCTTAGTCCCTTCCTCCTGGTTCTGAGCAGGCAGAGATGCGGGGGCTGAGTGACCAAGCAAAGGAGGTGACCTCCAGTCCCTGCTGCCTCAGCGCAGCCTGCTCTGCCCCAGGGATTAGCAGGAGGACCCAGCGTGCCTGCGCGGGGCACAGCTAAGCACGTACCTCTGCCCCCAGCCCTGGGAGTCCAGCCTGCCCATGGCTGGGGAGGCTCAGCCCGCCTGCCTCTCCCCTTTCCTCCCACACCCCTGCAGATGACAGCTCTGCCAAATGAACACTAACCTGTGTTGTGAGCCTGAAGTTGGGAGGCTGAATTCACGGTCACCTTACACGTGGGACAGTAGAGGTGCCCCTTCTCGCCCCTGCCCTCCCTGCTTGCACTGCTGCCTGCAGCTGCTGCCATCGGCTCTGGCCCTGGAGCCTCTCTTCCAGGCTCTGGGGAACAGGGTGGGCAGGAGGAAGAAGAGGAGGAAGAGGAGGCAGCATCCAGGGGGTCTGAGTGTGCTGGTTCTCTTGATGAGGGGTCTGGGCTCGGTGGGAGCTGTAGTGGAGGGCCGAGAGGAGGGGCTGCGGAAACTGCTGGGGGAAAGGAGGCACTGGTGAGGGGGGGTTGGTCCAGGCATCTTCTGGGGCCCACAGCAATAAGCACTGGCTTGGAGGGATCAGGGCAAGGCCGAAGGGTACCTAGTGCAGGGATGACCAGGGCTGGATTCCAACCGGCCAGGCAGACCTGGGCCTCTCGGGGTCCCACTTTCCCCACCTGAAGTCACAAACTCAGACAAGGTAGTCCCATCCCAGCAAACCCTCACAGCCTGATAGCCTCATTACTTGCTAATCGTTGAGCAGGCATCACCATACCAAAAAGAAGTTCTAGAATGTTCAAGGTCAGCTATTCATGATAGCATAAAATCAGGAACTATCCAAGATCCATCAGCAAGAGAATAAATTGAGAAACAACAGTGGTGCGGTCACAGAAGGAGTATTACAGAGCAATGGAAAAAGACTAGCTGTGACTTGGTCAATATGAACAAAACTGACCCTGGCAAATATTCAAGAGATGAGCAAAAGCCACACTCATACAAAAAATCTAAACAATCAAACAAAAGCCACACCCATGAACAACAGAGGTAGCTAGGAGTCAACACAACCCAAATGAAATCAACTGAAGACAGGGCAGGGTCATGGTGACCTTGGGCCTAAGGGGCATCGTTGGCTGGTGCTGGGGACGTGACTTCCTTTGCAGCCAGGGTCTTTGCAGATGTGCCTTCAGATGAGGTCATGCCAGATAAGGGCGGGACTGATGGGTGACTGGCCGGATTAAGAGTGGGTCCCGTGAGAGCACAGGGAGCATGTGGTGCAGGATGGAGGCAGCGATTGTAGCCAGGCATCCGAGAACCAAGGAACAGCAGGCCCTCTGGCCACTGCTGGGAGCAAGAGCTGCCTGATGCAGTCTGCCTGTGCACGCCCAAAGAGAACCTGGTCCCATCCATGCCTTGTTTTTGCACTTGGCACCTCAAGAACTGGGTCTTTTGACCCAGCAGTTTGGGGTCCTTTGTGCTGACAGCCCTAAGAAATGAATGAGGCTGGGTCCAGGGCCTGGAGGAAGAGAAGGAATGACCACTTTCCAAACCCCATGTCACAGTTCACTGTCGACACACACTAGATGGGCTGGCTGTGCCAAGACAACCAGGGCCTAGGGTGTCTCCCTTCCGCTTCTCTGCCCAGACCTAGGGAGGACAGAGGAGGCCCAGAATAGGACAAGATAGACACTTGAAGGTGCTTGCTCAACACCTCTCTATCAGCCCAGACACCTGTGCTACTTGGGGAGTGAATCAACGGATGGAAGATTTTCCTGTCTCTCTTCTTTTCTATATATCTGACTTTCCTAAATAAATAAATTAATTAAATAAATAAATCTTAAAAAAAAAAAGCACAAACCATTTCCCCTAAAGCTAGTGTCCAGTCGGATACTCTACGTCCCTACTTTTCCTGGACCAGTGCTTTCCTATTGAAGATTCTGTTATGTGTGTGCTCATTGCCCAAGCTTTTTATTTGCATGAGAAGCTTAGGAGAGAACCTACTGAGCTTCACTGGTACCATGAATACAGCCCAGAAGCGACTGGGAGGTGATCCAGGGCTGCTGGCACAGCCTGAGCCAGCCCACTGTGCTGGACAGGTGCCAGCTGCAGCCTGAGGGGCGGGAAGTCCAGCCCCAGCCCAAGAAGCAACAGCAGCAAGCACTGGAATCCTGGGTGGTTCCCTGGAAACAGCGGGAGGTCCCTGGCCAGGGGCTGGGGGAGAGATGCTGGCTAACCTTCACTCTGTAGCTCCCTGGAGGTTTCACTGGCTGGAGTCTCGACCTGAGCCTCCGCCGCTGCCGCCGCTGCCCCCTCACTGGCTGGGGCTGGAGGCCTCTGCTTGTTCTTGGCTGCTTCCATGGCCTTGAGCTTCCTGGCGTGTTTGTGGCCTTTATAATGAGCTTCTGCCTGGTTCTGGGGAGTGGAGGGCACAGAGTCATAACCATACATGTGTCAAGTTCATCTGTCCCATATTTGAGCGGGAACCAAGCCTGGGCCCGGGTCAGAGGGAGGCAGGGCTTGGACCACACCAGGGACAAACCGGTTTCAGAGCCACCATTGTCCTGGTTCGTGTGTGGTTCTGAGCTTCCAGAAAACCAGTTCACCTGGGAAAGCAGCCTCTGCCTCCCTTTTCTGATCCAGTCACTTGTGGGAAGGTCAGTTCAGGTGTCTGGGCCTGAGCTTTCTCACTGGTAAATTAGGGGATGTTTTTCCTGACTTTATGGGGTTGTCAGAATTCAATAGCAACAGGAATTACAAGGGTTTCACATGTGCGGGGATGCTCAATGGTCGCCAGCTATCGACCTGATAAATGGACAAATAAAGAGAGAGGAACCCTCGCATTCAGGAGGGAGGGTAGAGGCACTCCAAAACATTCATCCCTCTGTTGAGGTTTCTCAACTAGAGTGTTTGTTGCTGGCCTGGCACTGGGCCCGGACCCGATCAGCCAAGGATGGGCCCCTCCCTCAGTTTCTCTTCTGAGTCTTGGGGGACTCCTAACCCTGAAGGCCTGCAGGGGACCCCCCACATCTGGCCTGTTGGTGTCCTCTCTCCTCCAACCCAGGGTATCTACCTGCTGTTCCCCAGCCCTGAAACCCCTTCCTGGGTGTTTTATCCACAGCAGGTCTGCCGGCATTTAGCCCGAAGCCCAGAGCTGCCCAGGTGAAGCTATAGCGTGAGGAGTGGGTGGGCTTTGGGATCAACCTGGCCCAGGTTCAAAGCCCAGCCTTGCTACCCACCAGCTACATGACCTCAAGGCAAGTCAGTGTACCTCCATGAGCCTCAGTTTGCCTGTCTGAGAAGTGGGGATGACAACAGTGCTCTTCCCTGTCTCCCCAGGGTCTCAATGCCATCTGTAGATTCTCAAGGGTTTGTGGGGCTCACTTCCCAGGGCCTGGAGTGAGGAGAGGTGGCCTTCTCCCTTACAGAAAGATCCAGAACATAGACAGAGAGGAGCCCATGGGCTTCCGCCCTGCCCCTGCCCAGCCCATGCCACCCCTGTGCCCACTCCTCTCCATTCTCACCGCTGAGTTGAACCTCAAGTGACAGATGTTACAGGAGATGAAGAGCTTCTTCTTCAAGGGGGAGGGAACCCCAAACGTGTGGCTGATGACAGCTTTCTGGACTGGGTCCATCTGTCAGGGAGCAGGAGGACAAAACGCTGGGTCAGCACAGCAGTGGGTGGGAATGGGGTGCTGGGAGATGGGGCACTACAAAACACCAAAGGCTGAGCAGGGTGCCAGGCAGCCCCAAACCCCTGGATTTGTTTGTCAGAGAGAAACAGCCTGTCTCTTCCTGGCCAGCAAGTTCTGTCAGACTCCTGTGTACTTTCACTGCCCCCCTGGGGTCTGTTCTTACTGTTTTCATTTGCAAGAATCACAAACCACCGGCACAGGGAGTTGTGCACAGGGAGGTGGCAAGGAGGCGGCAGGGAGGGTCCCATAACCCAGCCTTGATGTCTGGCGCTGGCGGGCCGGCATGGGGCCTGCAGCCTGGCAGTAAAAGCTTTGCCAGCCAGTGGAGGTTGGAAGCCAGGCACAGAATCCGGGGACAGCTAGCGGTGGCCTGAGGATCTCCCAAGTGGCAGCCTCACTCCTTTGCAATATTCACTTAAGCGGGATTTTCCTCACCCCCTCTCCTCTTCGATCAGGCCAAGCCTTCAGTTTCTTTTTCCCAGGGGCAAGAAGCAGAATTTGTCAAGAGGAACTTTCCAAGGGAAGAGGGAAGGGCCCAGCTGAAGAAACGTCCCTGGGGAACAGAACCAGGCACTGATCTCACAGAACGCTGGGCTCCCGTCACCAGTAGGAGCCAGGAGTAGGTGCAGGAATTTGCTACCATCTTGTTTGGAGGAAAATTCAGCTGGGACACTTTTCTGCCACATGTGGAAATCGAGGGACACCTGGCACATAAGCTGATAGCTGTCCCAGATCAGCAGGAGAGACATGAGGCCACACACAGAACACACAGCTATACCATGGCACACATATCCCTATGCAAACAACCACGTGGAATCTGTATTCGCCAGACCCTGCGGGCGTAGCAGTGATGAAGGTAGGGGACAGGGTGGAGAGGGGGTGACTCACTCCGCAGCCTAGGGTCCTTCCTCTTATGATGCACCAGGTCGCAATGGGAGATGATGGAGTGCCCCAGCTAGATACAGTAGCTGAGGCTGGCCCCTTGGAGCCCACCTTCCTGGCCCGCCCCCCACACAGACCCCTTCCTCACCCCACTCTCCGTACCGTGCTGAAGTTGGGGAAGAGACTGAGAGGGGTGGCACCATTGAGGTGGAAGGCGAGCAAGTGCTTGAGGTCCAGCGGGGGCTGCAGAGGTAGGGAGGCCAACAGGGGGCTGGAAGTGCTGGAGGCCGGGCCTGCTGCAGGAGGAAGAAGGGCGGGATCTGAACCGAGGAGCCATGGTGGAAGAACAGGTGTTCTGTCCCACCTTTGCAGCCAGCACACGAGGTGGATGGATGCCTGGGGGTGCAGAACCACCCGAATCCTTCTCCAAAAGTCCAGCGTGACAGCTGGCCCCAGAGCAGGGGAAGCGAGAGGCAGGTAGGCCACAGCTCAAGGCTCCCAGCCCAAAGAGAGGGCCCTCTCACTGGGCAGAGGCAACGTGGGGGTCAAGTGAAGCCCCTTGGGGAGCCCAGGAGGGAGGGGCAGGAGTGGGGTTGGCCACTGCCATACACACAACCATGCAGACAGCACCATGCACTGGGTTTCCACTTTATTACAAATTAAACCCAACCCCAGGGGGTTTTGTGTGAAGGCCAGCTCCACCCGCCCCTCTGGATCCCAAAGGAGGGATGGGAAACCCCAGGGATATCTGAGGGACAAGGTCCCCGCCCAGACCAGGCCCTAGCTGCTTCCCTTAGGGAGGCCAAAGGGCAGGTGAGCCCAGGGGACAGCAGGTGACCACACTGCACTTCTGCAGTCTTTGATCTTAAAGGATCCAGGTGACAGCAGGGGAGAACTAGTATATTGGAGGAAAATCAGTTTTTGAGGAAGGAAAAAAAAGTGACAGCAACGCACATCTGTTGAAGTGATAGATTCCTTCAGGTGCATAGAGTGTGATGCTGATACACACTGTCTAAAACAGGAAAGCTCCGGCAAGAGGGGGCACCAAGGGAAGACCCCAATACCTCCCTGGAAACCAGAAAGCTGGGCCTGGAGCAGGTACTGCCAGAAGTAGGGCTAACATGCACCTGAGGACCTGGTCTCATTTCCCTTGATGCTTCAATCCCCCCAAGACCCAGCCTTCTGCCCCGCTTGAACCAGACATGTCAGCTTTCCAGGGTCAGAACGTGGAGGTGGGGGATTCAGAAGGGGACAGGGTGAACTACTCCTCATCCAAAGGAAAAGAATGGCAGCCATTCTGGGGGCCTCTGCACATCTGCCCATATGTTCTGTTGCCACTGGCGCATCACAGCCGGCCTGAAGGCACAGCAGCACTCGCAGCGCCTCCTCGCCGTGCGAGGCCAGCTCCTCTGGCGTCTGTGGGTAGCGCCGGGAATTGAAGATGGGCTTCAGAGAGGGCTCCCTCTGCACAGAGTCCCGCAAAGCCCTCCTTCCCCCGCAGATGCTCCAAGCCCCACACCGCAGTCTCGCAGTAGCAGTAGCGGCTCAGCTCCACCCCAAGGTAGGTGCAGCCTCCACCTCTCACTTCAGGTTACCAGGATGCCAGTTCCCATAGCAAGCCCTGGAAGGCGACGTCTGTTGGAGTTGCACTGAGCTTGGAGGCTATGGCCGCCGACACCAGGAGCTGTAGCAAGGTCAAGTCTGGCTCTTCTGGTTGCAGGACAAGGGCAAGTTTCTGCACGGAGGGCAAAACATCCAGCAGCAGGTGGGTGAAGGCTCTGAAGGTGAACTGGTACAGAGCCAGCGCCAGGGCTCCGACTATGGGGAAGACCAGGGCGGCCACCTCCAGGGTGGGTACGAGGCCTGACCACACCTCAGTCACTGTTTCCACCATGGGCAGCAGGGAGGCCCAGGGCACAGGCTGTGGCCCTGCCAAGTCAATGGCTGCAAGGACTAGTGCTGCCTGCAGTTCAGAGACTGTGGGGAAACTTGGCCTCAGGAGCAAGGCATCCAGGATGCTCTCATATTCACCCAGATAGGCAGAGGCTCAGGATCTGTCTGGCCAGGGAGGCAATGTGGCTCTGTGAGCAGCGGGCAGGCAGCCGGGAGCTGTGGGCCCAGGCTCTGCAGGCGCTCACTGGGCAGGCTGGAGCTGAGTCAGGCCAGCTCGGGTGTAGACACACCAAAAGCCTGCAGGATGTCTAGGAGCTGGCCGGCGGTGACTTCACCCTCCTGTAGCTCCACTGTGCCCAAGATGGTGGTCTTGGGCTGGCCATCACAGTGGGACACCAAAGTGGCAAACAGAGCCAGGCTGTGGAACTCGGGCCAGACCCTGGTCTTGTCTAACACCAGTCCCACATGTGGGGATGCCTTCAGGCGCTGGCAGGCCTCTGTGTGCAAGATCCCTGCAATGGCTACCTGTCAGCAAGGCAGGGGTGCAAAGAGAGAGGACAGGGTTAAGGGTACCCACACATAGCCTGGCCTTGCCCCTCCCTGGCTGTGCTGCCTTGATCAAGCTACTTGACCTCTCTGAGCCTCTGTTTTCTGAACTCCAATGTCTGCTCTCAACTAATATTTGCCCCTGTTCACTCCTGCTAGTGCCTCCCGCCCACGTCCACCTGACTCAAGACACACAGGGCTGTTCTCAGGATGGAGCTGCAGCCTGCATGCCTGCATGCCTGCAGGGGCCATGTGTGGGACCCTGAGCCTGACGCCGACCAGGAGCAAACCAAGGGACTGGGGAAGACTGGGCAAGATGCCCTTGCACCCCATCTGCCCTAGAGCCTGGGGACCCCCCTTTGCAGTTCAGACCCCCCTGATCCTGGTTCTTTTATGGTTTCTCGTGATTTTAGGTTGGAAAATTTCCCCCAAAATCAATAAAATACATCCAGGGGATTAGCAACCACCTGAGGTCATTTGCAAACTCTGGGTTAGGCAGTAAAGACAGTGCTCCAGGTGCCACTCCCTCCCCCAGGCCTGGGCCGGGTCTGTTCTCTTGGCTTGTGCATGCTCTGCAGGTGGCCCTGTGCCAGGCACACAGTGGGCTCTCGGTGAAGGTTCTGACATGTGAGGATGTGAAGGAAGTGCCTTGGCTGCCATCAGGGTGGGGGCTCTGGCACACTGGAGCCGCTCTCTGATGGCTCAACGTGCTCCCTCCCCATCCCCCAGCTGCCACCCACCTGCATGTCCCTCACTCTCCTGGGGCACTAGTGGTCACCACATTCCACACCCAACAGCGCCTGGCACAGGTTGAACTTTTATAGTTCAAGCAGGGCAGATCAGCGGTCGTCAGGGACATCCTCCTTGGCCATGCCATACACGGTGGTCAGCATGGCCATCTTGGTCGGGTCTGCCTCTGCCTTGACACCCTCAGGATGGGAGTGGGCGCCTGAGTAGGTTGCTGCCCGTTCTGCCGGGCCCTGGTTGACGGCCAGGGCCTGCTGGTGGGCACTCAAGATGATGTGGTGTTGGAAGTTGTCAGTGCCCACAGTGAAGGCGTTTTCAGCCTCACCATGCTTGTTGTGCATTAGGGCCCCACAGAGTGACAGCAGCCACTAGTGGTAACTGGGGCAAAGAGGCGCCAGCCCGGGAATGAGCCAGCGAGGCAGCGGCCAGAGCGTGTGGCTTCCTCCAGGGCACACTTGGCCGCACCCACCTCCGCCAAGCATTCCACCTCACTTTTCCTACTGGCGCTGCACATGAGGCAGAGGGAGCAACTGAAGTAAGACTGTGGGGAGTGAGAAGGGTAGGAGAAGCCTGCAGGTCATCACACGTGCCTCGGGCTCCTGGAGGTGCTGGCTTGGACTGGGTAGAGGCAGACTGGTGGAGCATGCTGGGAGTAGGGATGGGGTGCACTGCTTCGCTGCCCTGGAAGAGCTGGGGTTGTGGAAGCGAAGGTCTGCCTTGTGAGCCCATAGGCCCCACAGCAGGAGGCGGGAGGTGGGTGCAACAGGCTCCACGGAGCACTGGGGGCTGGGAGTGGAGGGGGCTTAGGGGCACAGGCCAGATGTTGGGATATCCAGGGGTAAACGCTGGTTGGGCTGGGAGCTTGGGATCTCAGTCTAACTGGTCATTTGTAACGGGGACCGCAGCAAGGGTGGAAGAGGGAAAACACAGGGACTTCTTACTAGGACTGTCAGATGCACTTGACCCTGGCTCCTGTTCAGTCCTCCCCACTCCAGAAGTGAGGATCAATGTGGGCTCCCTGCGGAGGCGGGTCCCCCACACCTAGATCTGGAGGCCAGAAGGGAACTCCGTTTACACTCAAGTCTGGGGCCTTTGAGCAGCTCCTTGAATGGGATGGGAGAGGGATGCCTCATTTTCCTCGTCTGTGAACTGAGAGTCACAACTGAAGGAGGAGGCCAGGACAGGAAAGGATTTGAGGACCAAGTAAGGTGTCAGGTGTGGAGGCCATTTGAAGAGGGGGGGGTTTGCTGCTACAGGTCAAGGGATGACCCAGTATCTGCCCTTGCAGCTAACTCAGTCACCCAGAAATGCCTTCCAGCCCCCTCCCCAGTGGGCACCTGCTCACCAGCACCAGGCATTGCTCCCCTCAAAGTGCTGCTGCACCCCCATCCCATCTGCCTGTGAAAGTCATCATAGTCCCTGGCCCCCAGGGCACTGGACAGTACATGGGTCAGTGGACATCACTGGCTCCTGGCCATGTACAGATGGAGGCAGATGCTGTAAACCCCCACCACTGGCCAAGGTGGCACCATGCAGCCCAGCAGGTGTAGAATGCTGCCCCTGAAAAGGTCAGCTGTGTGCAGCAGTGGCCATCCCAGCTCAGGGGCCTGGGGCCATTCTGCTCCCTCCTGCCCATTATCCCCTGGACCCCTGGAAGGCTGCTTGAGGGGCAAGGAGGGGCTGGGGGACCCAGGAAAACATGACAAAGGAGTCTGACTGAGAGAAGAGGAGGTTGCTCTGGGACTCCAGTCAAGACTGGGGCAGAGGCACAGAGGGGGAGGTGGCAGAGAAAATAACATTAACCTGACTATCACCCAAGGGAGAAGCACTGGAGAAGCCGCCTGCTGGGACACACACATACCACCGTGAGGCTCCCAGGCCCCAACACCAACCCCTGGGCACATGCCTACATACACCACCCCACAGCCAGACCATCTCTGCATGCACAGATGTGTACATACCCAGAGGTACCCATGCTGAGACCAAGACCCTGACTGCCACCACAGCCAAGTGTGGGTATGCACACATACACAGCCAGACCCACCCAAGACCAGCTTGTGGTATCCCACGCTCAGAGGGACAGACAGGTGGATACACACAACCCTGCTCA